GTGGTTGAGCATCAACCTATGAACCAAGAGGTCAGGGTTTGATCTCTTGAGTCGGAGCACATGCCCGAATTTCAGGCTTGACCCCCAGTGGGGGGCGTGCAGGAGGCAGCCAATCCGTGATTCTCTCATCATTGATGTTTCTATCTCTGTCCCTCTCCTTTCCTCTCTGAAATCAATAAAAATATATTAAAATGTATATATGTCCTTGGGTAAGGGACAGGCACACAGCTCTGGCCCCCTCACTCGCAACGCCACCTCTGACTCTGAGAAAACTTGTTCTCAGAGCAGCGGGTTTCTGCGCATCATTGTTCCTACGATTACAGGCGTGGCGGGGGGGCTGTGGCAGGGGATGGCCGGGGGTGGCCGTGGGGGGGTGGCTGGAGGGGTGGCTGTGTGGGGGTGGCCATGGGGAGATGCGGAGGCAGATTGCACCCCCGGCTCTCGGTGGTGCCGGGCGGCTTCTCTCTTGGCGGTCTCCCCCTTTGGTTGCAGCTCACCCGTCTGTGTCGGATGGTGTTTAAATCCCGCCGTGGCCGGCACCTCCCAGACGCTCACCAGCTGCCGGGGCCACGAGGAGCCGCGGGCTGTTCTGCTGGGATGAGCTCCTCCCAGCTCCCGGGGCGCCCGCTGTCCCAAGGGGCTCTCCTCCTGTGAAGGCCCCGGCGTCCGAGTGGGTGGGATGCATGGTGTCCCCACACCCACGCCTCTGTCACCGAGAGCTCATGCCACGCCCACACTGTCCCCACAGCCCGGGAGGCCTGCGCCCCGTTGTCCCCACTTGGGGACTGGACAGGGGTCTGGGCAGGCCGAGGGCAGGTTCCGCGAGTATCCTGGCCTCCGGGTCTGCCCTCCCTGGGGTGGAACGTATTTCTCCTGGACCCTCGCGCCCCCCTCCCCCACCTTTCTTTCTCACTGCTGCCGCTCAGACAAGGGCACCGCGGCTCAGTTCCCCCAAAAAGCCCTTGAACCTGGGACTCAGGGAGGATGGGGCAGGGCCATGGAAAGGGCGCAGCTCAGCCTGCTGAGTCCGTGTCTGAGGAGTGAGTGGGCTGCCCCTCGGGGCCTCTCCTCCACGTCCGCAGGGACTGGCCCCTCCGCCTGGGTGGTCAGTCCCGACGCCGTGTGCGGACAGGCTGTAACCGGAGGGCCGGACGGGCACGAGTAGAAATGCTGCGGGGGATTGCGTGGGGTCCGAGCCCTTCGGCAGCGCCACCGGCTCCCGATTCCCGCCACGCTGTGCGTGCCCCGCACGGCTCAGCCTCCGCGCCCTGAGCTGCAGGAAGTGGGGCCCGTGTGCTGGGGCCCCCAGAGGACCGAGCGCAGAACAGCACAGGGTGCGGCGCGTGTCATGCTGAGGCTGGCACCCCAGCGTGGCCTCCACAAAAGCCGCCGCGGACTCGGGGCGGACGCTGCCGGGAGGAGGCTCCGGGGAAACCCCGGCCGTCCCTGTGCCTTCTCTCAACACGGGGACAGGAGACATTTACAGGCCGATAATAAGATGAATGTGACTCGTCTGGTTTTTCATTTCTCTACATAAAAAACCTTTGCATCAAGAAACAAAGCCTGCACATAATGTCTACGATTTGGGATGTTCTTGGAGATGCATTTTGTATCTATGGCGATGGCTGGCGTAGGTGGGATTCTTCAGCCCAGGTCCCTCAATTCCGGGATCGGACGCCGCCGCCGGCTGTGTCCCGGGAACACGGCGCAGCGCCCGCCTGCGGAGGGTGAGCGTGGCCCTCGTAGCCGGGCGCCTAGCCCGGAGGGAGGTGGGCGCCGGAGAGAGGCCGCGCGATGATCTGTCTCCGGGATTTTCCCATCTGAACTCGGCCAATTGGTGTCTTGCAGGCGCTAAAGAGATCGACATCGCAGCCACCCTGGAGCACCTGAGGGACCAGAGGCCAGGCATGGTCCAGACCAAGGTACTCCCCGTGCTGTGGGCGCGGTGCCCAGGGGCCCCCAGAGGAGGGAGGAGGCAGCTCGGCACAGCCCCACCCGCCGCCGGACTGTCTAGGCCCCAGAAGTTGGGGAGTTGGGGAGACATCACGTTTTTATAGAAAGAGGTCAGAGCTAGCTCCCCGCCCTGGAGGTGAGCTTTTCAGACTCTGCCCAGTCCCAATTCCCAGCTCCCACAGCCACAGCTCTGGGACGGGGCCACGGAGTGTCCCAGGGTGCACTGGGGTCTCCGAGCACCCCTAAATAGCTCGTGTGCACACTCACCGAACAGGCCGAGTTGGCAGCATCGGGGGTGCAGACAAGACCATGTTGCCTCAGGGGAACCAGGACTAGAACCAGGTGAAATGCATCCCAGAAATAACCCTCCAACCACAGCCCACGCCCGCCCCCGCCGCTGCCTGAGTCACACAGCGGCCTCTCTTGCTGGGGCCGCTCTCGCTCCTGGTGCCCACAGGAGGCTCACGCCCCAAGAGAAGCCTCTCCACGCTGCCTGCCCACCCTCAGGACCTGGTTGTAAACGTGCTGCTGTGACACCAGCTGCCGAGATGCGGGCAGGTGGTGCCTGGAGCCGGGCAGCCCAGTCCTGGGACCAGGGAACCGTCGCCTCCGGCCTTGCGTTCCCCCGTGAAGTGAGCGTGGCCCCTTGGTCCTCTCTGACTGTTAGAGGGTTAAACGGGACCATGCAGTGTTTGAGCTGGAAGGGAGAGAGGACGACGGAGTCCCTACCTGGAAGGTCACTGCCAACACCTCCGCCAGGACAGGCGGAGCGGCCGGGGTCTTATGTGATCCATAGGAAGTATGCGGAGTTCGACACACACTTGAAGTTTCTTAAAAAGACATTTTTTATTTAAAATTATAAATTTTATTTTGAAACTATTTTACACCTGGGAAAACATTGCAGAAATGATACATATCATGTACAAGTGCCCTTCAAACATCCCCATGCCTCAGCTCAGGTCATCCCAGGGCAGGGGCCAAGGGTAGGGTAGGGGGTTGGCTGATTCCTGAAGCTGGGGTAGCTCTGCCTTCCGGCGGCTGAGGGCCGGATCCCCGACGGTCGTCACTGCGACTGTCCTGCCCCGTCTGCCCTCACTGTCCGTCCCCCTCAGAGGACCTGCCTGTGACTCACGCCCCCTCTCGCCCCACAGGCGCAGTTCGAGTTCGCGCTGACAGCGGTGGCCGAGGAGGTCAACGCCATCCTCAAGGCCCTTCCCCAGTGAGCGGCCCGCAGCCCAGCCGCCAGCCCGCGGGGAGGCACGGGCGTCGATTAAGTGTCTCCCAGTGTACTGCCCAGTAATAATCCCATAGAAAAAGACAGCTTAGCAGTTAAAATGGGTATTTTTGTTCAATTAATAAGAATGAAGAGAGGTTGAGGGGACCGCCCGGTTTGGGGAGCGACTGGACATTAATCCTTACCGTCTTGAAAAACATACCGTTATCCATAAAATTAATTACTCACTCTCAACCAAATATATCGATATTCCAACTCGACCTCACGTGGCCCGGTCGCTCACGAAATTGCGTGTTGTGAGTCAGTA